TCATGATTATTTAAAATGTCAATCCAGTAATCGCTTCAATCCATGATATATATGGGGCCACACGAGTAAACACAGTGGGCGTAAATGGCAAACCACAACCACGTTTATCGGTAAACGATATGATACCATATGCCACCCAGGTGCCATCGCCCAGTTGACAGTTAAACGGTCCACCACTATCACCTTGGCAAATATCTTTCCCACCCAACAAATACCCGGTGCAAAGTTTCTTGGTAGATCGAAATAAATTACGCCATCTCATTGAGCAAACACTGTTTTCCAAGATGGGCAAACTGACCTGGCGCAATATAGCCGATCCGTTGCCATTGGTCGCTGTTCGGCCCCAACCGGTTGCCACACACTTAGCGCCCGCCCGTATATTCAACCCCCGGGGCGGCAGACATATGGGTCCCAAGAAGTTGTGTTCACCATTAAAATCTAGTGGCTTGTTAAGCTTGTACAATGCGATATCGTTTTCAAAATTGGTCTTGTTAAATCTATTGAGATAAATCTGAATACAAAGCAAAATTTATTCAATATTAAAGTAACTGGAAATTTATTTTACAGAACAAAACCCATTATATTTTAAAATTCTGTATTTGAAGTAATATGTAAATATATCAACTAACCTGATTGATGTCAACATAATACTGGGAGCGCTCGTCAGTATCAACAAATGTAACGGCAATCTCATTGACTTTGTAATCGTCGGGCCATTCATTAGTACAGTGGGCGGCCGTTAGTATCCACTGATCGCTGATCAACGCACCTCCACATTGGGCGCCGTCAGTGTCCGGACCTTTAGATGTGTTGAACATGTAATTGAGCTTGATCATCCAGGGCCACGCGCCCCGGGAGGCAGTCTGGCCCCGGATTATACGTGTGGAGGCTATCGATCGACCGCATTGTTGTTCACCAAACCCATTGCCTAATAAACACATTATTGTTGTTATAACTATGCAAATATTGTCATTAAATGACATCGTTGTATGTTGTAATAAGGTATGAATTAATAGTAAAATTATTGTTAAATTTAATATTTAAATTATTACATGTTTGTATATATTTTAAAAGCACCTTTAATTATTTTAATAATCACAATATATGCAACATTAATTTGCTAGTTTGTTAGTATTAGAGCAATAATTGAGCAATAATTAATATACTTGAATAACGTTTGCAGATTTAAATTATTGCTTTTGATTACTATTAAAAATCTGTGCAACATGAAATTTATATTTCACATTATTTTATGGATTTAATGAACATAAATGTGGCCCAGATTTTAAAAACTATTTAATCATGAAATCAATGCTAACTGTCAGTTATTTTAACAAATATGTTCTCAAAATGTGTTTATTAAATGGATCAATGGTGTAATAATAATTATATATAAATAACAAATGCATATTTTTATATTAAAATAATGATTTATTGTTTTTTCAGCACGCAAAATTCAATATATTCTAATTATAAAAATTAATAACAATTATTATAAAATTCAATTATTTGATTATGATTATTGCCTGTTTTTCAGTTTTGCCAATTTACAAATTAACATTTTTATCTTTGTATAATTTTTGAGCAAGAAAAAATTAATTTACAGTCTTAATTTTAAGCATATTTATGATAGTATTATTGTTTATATTTATTTGTTTTGCAGAATTTTTATATATTTATTAAAAAACTATTAAAGTAAATCAATTTTATAGATATTTGTGGAGATAATAGGTATTTGAATTTACGCACTCAACGAAACACTAATTAATTTTGCAACTTGTTGTTTGCAAAATATTTGTGACATGTATTAAAATCGAATACAATTATCATATTTAAATGAACTCTATTTTTGTGCTGAAATAATTGTGAAATTTGTACAAAACATTTGTGTCATTTAATGAATATAATTAATAAAATAGTATTTTAGTATTTAATATTTAATAATTATGCAATATCAAATGTATAAAAAGTGTGATTTTAACAACATGGATAAAATAAAAAATGCTGATTAGACGAACCAATTTTTTATACTACAATTTAAACAAAATGGTAGTTTATAGAATTATTTAATTTTGTGCATAAAACTACACATTATATTTAATTAATTTTAGGGTATTAAAAGTCTTTATCTTAAAATTGAAAATTTTAAACATTCAAACAAAGGATAATGTTCGAATAACGCGAGAATTACTGTTCTAAATCAATAAACTAATAATACTGGCACAAGTGCTCTTGACTAATAACTTAGTGTAAATTGAGTGTAAATTTACAACATTAATTTAAAATAAATCACATTGTTATTAACAAAAATATAAATAAATTACAGTTTTTTTAATTAAATTCTACTAATAATAATTTTAAATAAATCTATTATTTATTAGGCACATTTGAAGTTTTAAATTTACAAATGATGCCCATACAGTTTATCTAATTGACCACACCCACCCTATTTTGATATAATATTACCAAATTGGATAAAATAAAAATAACAAAAAAAATTTGCTAAATTTTTATTATTCAATATTTTAATTACTACTTAAAAATAATTATCAAAGTAAAAAACAAACATGAATTGTTCAAATTACAAGCAACAAATAGCATAATAAACTAAAATTTAAGCCCTGTCACGCTTTCTATCCACGGTATGTACGGCTCTACTCGAGTGAACACGCTGGGTGAAAAGGCCAAACCACAACCACGTGCATCGGTAAACGAGACAATACCCTGAGCGACGTACGCACCATTGGCCAGTTGGCAGTTAAATGGTCCACCGCTATCACCCTGACAGAAATCCTCGCCACCAAACAAATACCCGGCGCAAAGTTGTGTCGCCGGTCTGAATGACGCGCCCCATTTCAATGAGCACAAACCATTGTCTACAATGGGCAATTGTACCTGGCCCAATGTTCTCGATTCAGTCCCATTGGTCGACGTGACGCCCCAACCGGTGACCGTACATTTAGCGCCCGCCGGTATATTCAACCCCCGGGGCGGCAGACATATCGGCTCCAGAGAGCTATCCTGACCGTTGAAGTCAAGTGGTCTTTCAAGTTTATAAAGTGCAATATCGTCTTTGAAATTGGTCTTGTTGAAACCATTCAAATAATGCTAAAATAATTATAATAATATTGCAATTATATTATATTGATTACATAAGACATAAATGGATAATTATATAACAATACAAACCTGAGATATATTAACATAGATTTGGTTGCCCTCCTCTTCATCACCAAATGTGGCAAATATTGAGTTAACGGTGTAATCGTCGGGCCATTCATTAGTACAGTGGGCGGCCGTCAGTATCCACTGATTGCTGATGAGTGAACCCCCGCAATGGGCGCCCTGAGTGAGGGGTCCTTTGGGTGTATCAAAATTGAGCTGCAGTTTGGCCATCCAGGGCCACGAGCCCCGGGAGGCAGTCTGGCCGCCGACTATACGTGTGGAGGCCATCGATCGACCGCATTGTTGTCGTCCACCGAACGCATAGCCATAGCCAGAGGCCAGACATACAGTGAATACAGCGGCGATTAAAGCCATGCGATTGTATTCAGTATTGAATGTCATCGTTGTTTGGTTTCAATAATGTTTTATCAAACAAAAATGATTATGATCAATTTTACAATTAAACTTCAACTTATATACAATTTTAACGCAATTTTTAATTTGATTTTAATTACACAATAAAATATTTGTTTGTTTTGAAATACTTTAATCATTAATTATTAAATTACAGTATATGTTATAAAAATGTGTTATAATCCCACACATTAAAATTGTAGTATATTTCATTTAGCAATAAAGTACCATAATTGATTGAAATTAATCATATTGTATACAGATTGAATTAATAATATTTAATAATAAATTATCAAGTATGTATTTCGCACACTTAATTTTATTTCATAATTACTATATTATATTAACTTCCAGTGCAAATGTCCAATGTAAAACATAATGATACATGATAATGGAAATTACATTAGTACACTTGTTACTTTTATATTTGCACCCTTAATTGCATACAGATATTATTTATGTAGATTTGATTAATTACATGACCATAATGCACTTATTGACACGAGTTTTTTAAACATATGCCATTAAACTGTTAATTAATTGAAATAATATGGTAAACATAATTGCTATAAACAATGACAATTAATCTAAATAATGTTAAATCAAAATAATATATTATTATATTGTATATTCATATTAAATTTGTTTACGGTACAATAGTCTATTATACACAATAATTTGTGCTCGAAATGGGGAGCGCTATTCAGACCGGCGGCACAACTTTACATTATTCTATTTGTTGCTTGTAATTTAAACGAGTCATGTTTAATTATTACGTTTGATAAATAATTTTAAGTAGTAATTAAAATATTAAAAAATTAAATATTTAGCAAATTCTAGTTTTATTTTTATTTAACCAATTTAGTAATATTATTTCTAAAAAGAGTGGGGGTGATAAAGGAATTAGATAAACAGTATGGGCACCATTTGTAAATTTGATTAAATTTTCTTGTCACTTAAAGGTCCTGTACATGTAGTTTCAAATGTGCCTAATAAATAATTGATTATTTAGAATTAGTACGTACTATATTAAAAAACTGTATTTTAGACACATTTTTGTTAATAATGATATAATTATGATTCATTGATTTTATAAATTGTTATGTATTAACCAGTTTAAGTTTTGTTATTAATAGTTTAATCTAAAATTTAGATGCTAAATTATTAATTAAATTTAATTACAATATAAAGGTTTATTTAATTTATAAATTTTAAATATAAAAATTAACACAAATATTTAAAATTTTATATTAAAATTAAACTTTTATTTATTGGATTGTCCGACAGCTTATTAGACGTAAAATCTAACAGCAATTTATTGCCAGCAGTTTTGGGACCGACGGTAAACGTCTGGTCGGCCACCCTATCGATCAAGTTGTAAATGTTGATCCGTATAGGTTCAACGCAATATTAATTATAAATTAAATATAATAATTTAAGTAGCATGTGTTGTAATATTAAGTGCAAGTGTATGTTAATATAACTTTGCGTTCAGTGCACAGATTTAAAACTTGTTACATTAGTGCATGTGTTACTTTTATAATTGTACCTTTGGTTCCATAATTATTGTTAATGTAGTTATTAATTAGATCTTATATTCATTATGCACTAACAAATAAGCAATATTTTAACAATTATAAACATACGTAAATTAATAAATTGACAATGAAATATTAATTTATTAGCAAGTATATATGACATAAAATATACAATTAATTTGTATTAACAGCTTTATTGTTAAATAAAAATGTACAAAGATTATATAGTGTGGGCTTTTACCAGATTTATATAATAAATAAATCAATAATTAAAAACAAAATTATTTAATAAGTACATTGGTAATTAAAAAACAATTCAATATTTCATAGTGAATAAATCAAACAATAGTATAATTTATAGTATCCAAATAGTATAAAAGTCAAAGTTTTGCCAAGATTGAAATTATAATTTTATTTGGTCAAGTAGAATATTATTGACTAAACCAAACAACGATGACATTTAGTATTGAATACAATCGCATGGCTTTAATCGCCGCTGTATTCACTCTATGTCTGGCCTCTAGCTATGGCTATGCGTTCGGTGGACGACAACAATGCGGTCGATCGATGGCCTCCACACGTATAGTCGGCGGACAGGCAGCTCAATGGCTGGCCTGGCCGTGGATGGGGTTCATTGAATACAACATGACTCACCCGACCAAGGGCCTTTATATCGGTATATGCAGCGGATCGTTGATCAGTGACCAATGGGTGCTGACCGCCGCCCACTGTACCGAAAAAATTATGGACGGTTATAAGATAATTGGCATCAATGTTACATTTGGCGATTATGATTTCCGAATTACCGAGGGCACTGAAGTTACCCGATTTGTTAACCAGGTTAGAAATGTGTTAAATATTTATTTTATAATATAATTATTTTATTTATTACACATATTAGATTCAAAAATTATATTTATTAAATATACAATTGTGTTATTTCACAAACTGTAAATATGAGTTTTAATACTGTAAGGTATATTTTGGAAGTAAATGAATTTTATTAACTGGCAATAGCCACAAATCGATAAAAAGTAAACATTTTTTTTTAATTTGTAATTCATTCTAATGTATATCTACATTGTATCTAAATTTTAATCATTGTACATAAACTTTTTTAAATCAATTTATTATTTTTTATAATCTCTACTCAAATTAGTACTACCTCGATAGTTTCAATGGCACCAGCTTTAAAAACGATCTGGCTCTATACAAACTGACCGAGCCGCTTGATCTACAAGGCCAACACAGTTACCTTCAGCCTATATGTATGCCACCACGTACTTTAAATTTAGCACCTGGCACAATGGTCGAGGCCACCGGTTGGGGCTATACGTCGGACACGAGTGGACCGCCGGACACTCTAAACCAGATAGCGTTGCCAGTAGTCAATAACCCGGTGTGTAAGCGCAGGTGGGACTACCTGTTCGATGCCAGCGGCCAGTTGTGTGCCGGCTATCAAGAGGCTGGTCATAATATTTGCCATGGTGATAGTGGTGGACCGTTGAATTATCAACTTGCCAATGGTGCCTGGGTGGTTTATGGTCTAACCTCGTTCACAAGCGGTGATGGTTGCGCCACCTATGATAGTCCCAGTGTGTTCACCAAGGTTGCTCCGTATATATCGTGGATTGAACGTGTGACCGGGCTCAAATTTAATTAACATTATTTTAAAACTTATTGACTATGTTGAATAAAATTGATAATATTTGTTTGTAATTTTAAAGTTGAATAAAATATTGCATTACAAAAAGTTATTTTATTGAAGAAACAATTTTTGATATGTTACCTCGTTTATGCTTTAATACAATACTATTTTCAAAACTTAATTAAGAAAGAAGTTTGCGCAAAAATAATGGTGAAAATGCCAAAAATTTTGCATTAAAAATTTTGACCAATTTTTATTTCAGTAATTTAATTATGTTTGTAATCGCAATTAAAATTGATGTATGTGAAGTAAAATAATTACGTTAATTGTAATAAAAAACGTGTTCATTTATTACGAAATTTCTTATTTTTTAAATAACTTTTTCTTATTATGTCCAAATTTGAAAATTCCTTTAGATTAATATTCCTCTCATCAATACCTTTCTATCGATCTATAATATGATATACTTATTCATAAATTAAAAGATCTGATTTTAAAAATTTTGCCGATAAAAGTGGTCACTGCGGCCAGACCCGAGGGAATCTGTACATATGAAGTATATCACTCGACTACCCATTGAGTGTACTTTCATTTTATAACAATAATTCCCGGGTGCCCGCTAACACACAGATGCGCATCCTCATTTGATCTTATCAATTAATATAATTTTTGTGATCAAAAATATTGTGTTGTAAAAATTTAATTGTGCTTGAATCGCTGTTTATTAAATTACTATTGAACATATTTGAGTTTAATTTTACTTATTAAAATTATAATAATTATTTACAGTATCATTTATTGGAAATTATTAAGAGTAAAACATAATTAAATTAATTGTAATTATTAAGACCTTTGTACTTGGTTTAATTTATTTAAAAATCAAAATTACTCAATAACTGCAAATATTTAATTATAATTATTTAAATTACGATTTACTACTTTTGTTTAACAAAAACAAATATAAAATTATTTTTAAGTAATATAAATACCTATATAATAATAATGTAGCCTCAGTGGAGCAATGGGCTAAGGCGTCGCCTAACAGCGATGCCTGAATCCGGAGCCATACATCACTGTGGGTTCGCGTCCCCAAGGAGGTAGCTCTTTTCGGACAAAAACTCATACATGTGTACTTCGCTGACGGCTGAGGGTATGTGGGTCTGCCCTCGTTAAAACGGAGACCAAGGCTTCAATGTGTCCGCCGCACCCCAGGGAGGAGCCGGGCCGCTTAGGCGGATAAAATGGACACACAATAATCCCCTTCTCAAATAAGAGATGGACGTCCTATGGGGCTCAGACCCGTAGGGTTGGGGGCAATACCTACCTACCTACCTATATAATAACATATTGTTCTGATTTAAAATTTATTTAGATTAATTGTCATTGTATTTAACAATTATTATCAATAAATTATTTGTCAGTTTGATGGCATATGTTTAAAAAACTTGTGTCAATAAATGCATTATAGTCATGTAATTAATCAAATCTACAATAAATAATATCTAGATGAAATTAAAAGTGCAAATATAAAAGTAACAAGTGCACTAGTGTAGTTTCCATTACCATGAATCCTTGGACAGTTGCACTGGAAGTTAATATAATATAGTACAATGAAATATAATTAAGTGTGCGAAATACACATTTGATACTTTATTATTAAATATTATTAATTCATTCAGTATACAATACGATCAATTTTAATTAATTATGGTACTTTATTGTTAAATAAATATAACACAGCTCTAATGTATGGGCTTATAACACATTTGTATAACACATACTGTAATTTAATAATTAATGATTAAAAGAATTACCAAGAATTTCAAAATAACTCAATATATCATAATTAGTAAATTACATCAAATTGAAAACAATGTGCGTTAAAATTGTATATAAGTTGAAGTTTTATTGTATAATTGATCATAATCGCATTTGTTTAATAACAGCAATGTTAGATTCCCATTGTGTCAGATTCGCATTGTCTCTTTATTATTGGATGATATTGTGGGTGTGTACCAATGCTGACTGTATGTGTTCAGTCAATGAGGGGGCAGAAAGAGGGGGCAGACAATGCGAATCTGACACAATGGGAATCTAACATTGCTGTAAAACATTATTGAACAAAACAACGATGACATTCAATACTGAATACAATCGCATGGCTTTAATCGCCGCTGTATTCACTGTATGTCTGGCC